TCTTCGCCGGCTGCTTCTTTGGCCAATATTTTGGTTTTCAACTGTAAGTCTTCAATTTCGTGTGCGTCGGTGGCACAGTAGTTAGGACTCTCGCCGACCATGCAAATGTTCCGAGGTTTGATCCTTTTCCGACGCACACCTGATATTTTTGGTCGGTCTGCAAAATTTGGGCTACCGATATCACATGCTGAAAATTCCATACTTTTACCGCAAAATACGGTGTGGAATCAAGCTGTAATAAAAAATAAAAAATAAATCATACGCGAAATCCAGGTCTTCTAGATTCTTCGCGACTTGACATTGGTGTTAAACAAAAACAAGGACCTTATTTTTCTGCCAAGCTATCATTAATAAGTAATGCTTATGAAGAGTATAAGAAACCCCGTTTAGTCAAACCGTTTCGCAAAAGGTTAGTAATATTAGCAGCAGGAGGACACCAATTTCGAAAAATAAGTGGTTTGAATAAAATTCTTCGGTTAGACAGTAATCGCATGGTTATGTAATTATTTTTGTGCTTAATGAAGGATACTCAATGCTGAAAAAGTCTAAAATTCTCTTCCGCTACCCGTATTCCCTTCTAAAATTAAGAGAGCAACTAAGGATCAGCATACTTCAAAAATACAAAGTACCCAAAGGCCTTCTGACAAATAAGAAAATGGATATGGAGTAACTGTCATTCCTTCGAGAACCCGGTGGAACATAAAGATTCAAACGTCGAGCTTTGAAGTTTCAGTAGCATTTTTTACCAGATGGCTTTGAAAGCTATGCATTCATTCCACCTACGGCCCTGTGCTTGCTGTCGCCTAGGCGATATTTGGGAGTGCATCGGTGGCCATCAAGCCACCGCCAAATGCCTATCACCGCCTACAGTGTTTACGCAATGAGAGCAAGAGTACCAGGACTACGATCCTAGTCATCTTCTCTTGCTAAGCAATATCTCTTTCATTTGGACTAGCACCCTGACAACAAATGCCCGAATATTAGGAGGTTGAACGATAATTCAGTGATTAGAAAAGTATTCTGTCGATGTATATGCACCAGGAGGTGGCATGTGAGCAGACACCAAGTATTTGGGTTCTCTAAAACCAGTCAACGAGAGATTTGGATTATTAATATTATTATCATTATCATTAATTTCAACTTATGCTTGTTCCACGACAGATGGATTTTTAGAGGCTGAGGGTGCTGACGTAGTATTTCGAAATATACTAACGAAAGATCTAATACCCACAACTTCTATGGTATTCGCTCCGCCTAGTCCAAAGGCAAAAAAATGGCCGGAATCGATCGTTCAAATTACGAGTTATATTTCGAGACCAAATTTGAGTGCGAGATGATTGCTTAACTAGCTTGGGATCGTGCACGAAGGAACATGACACGATGGAGTACCAAATTGCATTGATGCTTGACCGGAAGCCTTCAGCTAAACAAGTTGACTTAAACAGTGAGGGTCAGCATGCAATGTTCAGTGATGAATGCTGTGGCCAATAATTTTGAGGAATTACCTAGTGCTACAGATTTCATTGTCTGATGATCTAGTGGGTGATGCTTTCGAGTTTGAAATAACGGGTGCTGAATTCCAGTCTCAATCGTATGACCGTCATCTGCTTATTGGGGATGAAGGTTCATCAGACTGATGGGTACCAGATACATCGCTGCTCTTTCTCTCGGTTACACTGACGATTGCGTAGGTCACCAAGAAAACGACCCAAGTTCAAATGAAAAATGTGGGCAGAACATTAGCCAATGGTTTTTAATCTTTTATGGTAATGACTGGCATGTGAAAAGGTTTGCTATCTTTCAAGTCCTTGTGCGCAGGAACTGGGGTGATTTTAGGTCTGCTTACAAGCTCACTTCGATAAGAGGACCAGTAAAAACTACTGGAGAGTATCGGACAGCTATTTACTCCTAATATGGGGTTCCTCTTTAACTTTATGCATCCATGACCTCATCACTAGTGATCGAGCTCAGGAAATTCAATTTACGGGGCTAGTGAGTCGGTCGTCCTGCCAGATGTAAATAATCCCGTTGATCCCTCAAATTTCGAGTTCTGACGGTCAGTGATACATGACACCACCGTCAACCACTTTCATTGGCAAGTGTCTGTCCCCTCACTCGATGGTTTCGTGGACCCCAATGGTCATGACTTCTCAGAGGAACTTCATATAACTTCACCCTGTAGTCAGTGAGCCACTGAGTCGGTAGTGAGAATTGGAAGGACTTTCAAGTGTTGGACTGTCGGTGACATTGGCTGACTATCTCTGTATACGTCACAAAGTGGCAGGAGTTATAATTTTTGAGATTCACTTGATTTCCTACCAACTGCTGAATAGTCAGAGGATTGACCTCATTGCCCGAGGGTCATGAATTCAACGCCTAGCAGTTGAATCATGGGTGCACAACAGTCAAGAAGAGCTTCACACTAGGAAATACTGGCTATCCAAAACTCATCAGTAATTTTCAGTGGTGCTCCAGCTGAAATCCTTTCGCAACCAAACTTCAAAGGTATATTACCACTTTAGATGTGAGCGGAAGTGATTTAAACACCGGACGAGTGTTCGGCTAATTTCACACAGAGGTCGCTAGCCGTGCACCACGAACCGATTCATTTCAGGGAAACAGCTTAGTCAGTTCAATGCACCCAAGCTCTGCCTGCTTAGCTATTTGTGTGGGCAATACACCGAATCAAATTTACCACTTCCAAGTGAATCCATGATTTGAAATTTTACACAGTTCCAGATTAATTTTCGTCGTAGTATGCCTTCGATCTAGATCGTGCACAATATATAGTCTACTTAGTGCCATTTTAATAAGAATCAGGAGAGTAACCATGAGTACACGATTTGCATAAACTACTGATAGAATGATATGAGTAGTTGGATAACACCACTCTCGTCAACCAGCAGTGCTTACTAGCTAGTCACATCCTTCTTCCTGTTGATACCCAGTATGTCTGCTCAATCGTCACACACGAATGAGGTTAACAATCATGAGAATATTTGGTAATTTCCTATTACATTCTCCATGAGCCTCCCAAAACTGGTAATTTACCATTTGTTTTAAGCCTGCAATAATATCGTATGAACACCACATGAACTCGCGCACATATTTAATTAGCCTTCAACAAAACGCTTCACAATTCTTAGAAGAAAAGTACTCAGGGTGGTTTCTGTCTTTATATAAAGCAACAGTGCGTCACATTTTTTGACTAAATACGCTGAAAACTTTTGTAGTGTGGTCACATATTGGTTGGAATGAAGCTTAATCATAATCAATTTGCGGATATACATTACAGAGCCATTATCCGGTTTAACCCATTGTTGATTGCATTCTCATTAGGTTACCGCTCTCCTTTCATGTGAGTGTGTGTGTGTGTGTGTGTGTTAATGGTAAGTCCGTCTATAATGGTTGATACATTTTACCAGAAAATTAGGCATTTAACTCACAGTTGTTACTGAAAATCAAACATTTTATCAAAACACTTCACTTATTTTTTTCTTTTTTCCGGTGTTTTGCAACATTCTGTTCCCATTTAATAATGAAACCCAACGAAAGCGAATCAAAACGTTGTGTATTCCAGCTTTAGAAAATCCTGATATAAGTGGAGATATTTCAAGTTAGTGCCTTCTCTTTATTTATATGATTATTTGTTTCTCTTTACATGTATGAGGAAATGAGTCCAGAGATGAGGTACTTGTCAGGAGTCCAATGGTAGGATGCTTGCCAATCCTTTATGTGGTAGAAGGTTCCATTCCAAGCCAACAACGCACCCGTAGGCATCGCCGATTGTAAGCCGGAAAAAGAGGGAAGGTTGACTGTGAAGCTAGCGACCAGATCTCGTAAAGAGTATAAAAGAATACGGGTGCTACTGAAATGTCAAACTAAAAGCTTGAGGCTCTATTTTCCTCTTCGAACGCAAAAGAATGAAAGAGAAAGAATGGAAATGAGTTTATCTCCCTCCTTACCTTGAGTGATCGGATTAGAAACTTCATCTCGCTAAATTTGATTGAACTGGTGGGAAATGGAAATGGTTTGTACATAACTGCTAGGGAGATCGTTGAATGGCTTCACAAGTTAGGCAGACACTCAAATGCAACCTTAGTGGGAAGCGAACGACAAGTCCAGCCTGGGTCCATAGATATCGTGTGATGAAGAGTAAATAAAGTCTATTAATTAATCATGCAGCAGGGTAAGAAAGACTGCAGAGAAGACAGTGGAACGCATGCGTGCTTTTAGAGATTCACATTCCGCTAGGTACCTAAGGTATTAATAGTAATATTGTGATACGTGGCCGAGCAGGAAGCTTACAACTGTGTGCTAATCACAGACGCTTATCTGATCATTGTTTTTGTTGCTGCTTTTACCTTGGTCCTAAGTAGAACACAGGGTCCTAGTTAGCTCATATCTTCATTTGATCCTGTCGTCTGTAGTTTTCTGCTGTAACGAAGTGTTACTGGTTTTGTGATTGTCATCTACGTTAACTAGAAGGAGCCCTCAGTTACGATACTATAGTCATTTTGAAAAATGTCCCCTCATACAGACGTAGATAAATAAGTCAGATTTAATTGTGACGACAACAGCTTCATTAAACCAAATACTGCATATATCGTTTACACACCCACGGAAATTTAAACTGTAAACAGGCAACCAATATCTGATTGGCTGATTGCACCAATCATGGCTTTATGGCTAACAGTGATATGTTTCCCCTACCAACATTTTCCTTGGCTGGCTCTATGACTGCCCATAAACTTAAATCTCCTCAGCGTCACACGATCCCCGCCACGTCGACATTTGTCATATGTCCAAATTGTCCTTCATCACTCGAGACCCACTTAGGCAGTGGCCTACTCGGAGTATGATGTCACTAAACAATTTTCTGAATCATCAGATTTTAAGAAAAAGGGTTGCCAACATTGCACCCGATCATTTTCAAGTCTTGCCAAATACTCTGTCAGTTTTCTAACCCCTTCATTTTTTTTATACTACTATCCTACCAGAATTTAATGCAATCACTGAAACAGGAATTTTATATCATTCAAATGACGTGATGCACCATACTACGTCACCAACCTCCACGACGATGCAATCCTCCCCAAACTTATCTGATGTATAGTGTTATATTAAACAGGAACATATGAACATGTTTTTTATGTAACATTTTATGTTATGAAATTAAAAATGTCAAATATGTTTTTAAGAGTTCTTACTGAGTTGCAAATATATTTCGTCTATATTTTTTGAGATTTCTTTCAAACTCTTGCTCCTCCGATTTCACACTTAAATGATCGGCAAACTCAAAACACTCCGTATGACTTCTCGTTAAGTTTGGTATTTTTGAGAAATTATTAGGCAAGTATATTTTGAAAGAATTAATGTTCAGTGACTGATTCGAACGAGATCCGTCGAGATTGGTGTATCGTAGTCAAAGCCAAAGTCTTCCAAAAGTTGATCTTCAAGAACCAGTGAGACACAGGGAAGGCTTTAAAATATCCTCCCAAATCAAATTGCACCTGCATTTTCGGATTACGAGAGGACATGTATATGGTGTTCTAATTATTCGCTTAGTACTTTTTCTTGTCAGGTGGGGTTGTGGTTTTTGAGATTAAGGCTTAGGGTCTAAGGTTAAGGTTAGAATTAGGAGTTAGGATTATGGTTAGCGTAAGAAGTAGGTTGGAGAATAGCACCAGAAATATCATAGTAACATGACCTTCAGTCACCTGGACGAATGGGTATGTCGCACATGGTACGATGTCTCTATAGGTCATCTGTGTATTGACTGGGAGACATTCTTTCAACACATGAGCTACAACTACACAGTGTGATATCAAGCATTTAAATATTTCAGTGTATTTTTCAACCATTATGAGACTTCTTGGTGTCTGAATTCTGGTTGGTCGTTCAAGGACACTGTGGCTTTGCCTATATAGTTTAACTCTGCCCGAAATCCTGAGTGTTTGTCTTGTATCCAATGAGACGTTCTAATTCTTGCTTTTGTGATATCCATTTTCCACCAAATTCTTATCAAAACAGGGAGTTTCCAAGGATGTTTCATTAAGATTATAGGTTTTAAGAAAGCAATTACAGTTTACTACCAATCATAGCAGCCCAATACGAAACTCGCGTGTAAAATAAGCCACCGAAAGGGAGTAGAAACTAAAATAAAATTAAATTAGCAAACAGACTAGTATAATACAAATCACTGATCGGCTTGAGTAGGGCAGTTCAACTAAAATTCAAGGAGGGTCAAGTTAAGAACAGTGACAATGGGCAGTTGAAATATAATTTTGTGGGGGACGGGGGAAAATGATACAACCAGAAAATCCTCTTTCCGGTATCAGAACAGATCCAATCTATCGAAGGTTCAAAGACTTATCAACATGCTGCTCACTACTGCTTCTGTGATTTGAAGAAATTCTATTCGTACTCCGTCAGGGATATTCCCGCGTATTTTGTAGACACCTCTCTATTTGGCTTGTTAGTGCTCTTGGTTTCCACAATCAATCAGGTATTCTGGAATAGAAATTCGAAAGGACCTTTCTTCTCTTTTGTAAACCCATGCCTGTAAAACTCATGTGTCCTACATATACAGGAATAAATATATTATTATTTTTAAACAGCCAATATGTCTAGCTCCACAAGAGGAGGTACTCTGATAGGTGAACACTAGTGAGGTGGTTTGTCCTTCATGTTAAAGTGATTCACTAATTTTCTGGAGAAGACGTGAAGGGGGTTTCCTTCAATGAAAACACAGGATAGTTGGTTTTCCATTAAATATGCTAACGAGTCTCCATCGAACCGTGTATACAGATAGGAAGTCTTTTAGAAGCGGAAAGTGTAGGCGGTTTACATGGTGTTGGGCATGAATTGAGATTAGCCGAATTATTTCACGGAATATACACATTGGGTCACAGGAATTATTAAGAAGACAATTGCAGCAAAGAAAATTTTCTTTTCGACGAATTGTTTCAGTCTTATATCACAGCTATGGTTGTGATTGGTCAGTACTCAGGTTGCCAAATAGATTATTCCAAGGCCACCTGGCGGGTGATTCATCGTGGTCATCACTCCGTGTCTTCTTTTGTATAATTTATCTGATAAGGCATATAACCTCCAGTGAGCCACTCTCAGACCCGTGCCCGAATCTTCGTTTGAATTCAGGTTGCAAGTTTAACTGATACGTGATCTCACTTACCAACTCCACTTCCTTCTGCAGATTTCAAAATAGAAATTATTGTTAACAAACATATCGCCAGTTGATTGGTAAATTGTTGTGTATTGTGACAGAAATGCTATATATATATATTAGAGGAGGATCCCTTTACTTTGAGCTGATTTGTTGTGCAATAGGTTCTTGAATAGTTCATTGAAAAAATCCCTTCTTGCTTACTTTTCATCTCTGACTAATTGATCATCTGATATGAATTGTGAAGGCAGCAAAAGCAAGTCTGTAGCCACCTGTTAGAAATGTTCTCTGTCGCATGCCAAATCTTTGAACCATACAGCAGCATTCGTGGACTTGGCACTAGTATTGAGGATTGGGTTCCTCCTCCTTATATTTTTAGTGTAGCAGGTTTTTAGGCTGACTTCAGATAAATGATAGTCTGCCTTGCATTTAAGATCCCTCTGCAAAATATTCATCTGCGTAACGGTGCTACCTGTACAGCTGAGTGAATGAAGTGACTTTAGATCCCTTTCGTCAATGGTGAGTGCTGTTCGTTGCTCTGGTTGGTTATCGTCACGACCTCTGTCTTCTCTATGTCCTGTCCTTGTTGCTTTTCACTCGTAAGTCTTAGAATTCATATGTCATCATCTTCTACAGCCTTCTTATTGGTCCAATGTATTCCCGTTTTCTTAATCTCTATAGTCCGTCATGTAATCTCGTCTACCCCAAATTAGGAATTGCATCGGTGATAGGATACAGCCTTATCTTAATCCTTTCATTTCGAAGAATCCGCTGAGCCTTCCGCTGTGAGTCACGTGACATGTGGTATCATGATGTAACTGCTGAACGTGTTTTGTATAGGTCGGAGTCGCCGTACTCTACAGTGCTGGATTGATTTAAAACTACTTCGTAATCGACGCTGTCAGAGTCCTGTTCAAAACCGATGAATGCCCTGGTAGGAATTTGATTACGACTGTAGGTTCTGCTTGTTTGTTGGTGATACGTGATGTCGTAATTCATTTTAGACACCTTTCTACATAAATAATTAGTCGCGTAACTCAGGTTTCTGCATATGAAACTAGCAGCCCACTTGAACCTGTGATCCACTGCTAAATTTTTATTCGCTGTAATGCATCAAGTTTCTTTCATTTTTTATTGTTTCAATCACTCACCCTTTTCATTTAGTTGCAGAATTCTCTAGTATATGTTTTAGTGGGTTTTCAACCTACTGCTACGTACATTTTGAAGGATGAATATAGAAAGGAATCGGTTTGCGATTCCGATAGAATGACTTTGTATCGCAAGACATGCTGTCTGCTGCAATTTTACTTAAATATTGTGAACAAGAAGAAGACACTGTGCAACAAATAACGCTACGAATTCTGTACAGTTTGCCAATATTTTGTCCAGAATACTATTGTTAGATATCATTGTCGCCTGTCAGCAAATCTACTGCTTTCCAAAGACTACCCAGCCGAGTATTTTTGTTACCATTCCTCGTCTATAACCAGCACTTCCAAACATCATGAGGCAGGTTGGCAGATGTATTCTAGACAATCTAAAAATATGTGAGCATTTGTGGAGGTAAATAGTTCCCAAAAGCTGTTAGTCTGCAGTATTCTTCATTTGGCGATCTGTGCTGCCTGTCACTGTGAGAGCTGACTGTTTATGCTGAAGTAACGCATCCAGTCATCCACGCCATTTGATCAGCTGCTTTGTTACATTTGTTCACACGTAATCGCACACTAACACCACATTTCTGATCCCGAAATATATCTATGGTCGGCCTGCACAATTTGGGCTACTGATATCTATGCTGAAAATTCCATACTTGTACCGAAAATACAGTATGGAATCAAGCTGTAATCAAAACTAAAACTAAAATAAATCATTGGCAAAAATGCTTACTGATCGTATGTGTAATGATTGACAGCCACGGTGAATAGTCATAACAGATTCAGTGAGTGTGTTAAAGGAAAATTGGCGAAATAGTTCAAGTTCTGAAAAGGTGTCAGGTGAGTGCCTAGTACACTGAGTTTTAGCTGAGGAGGGGGTACCAAGACCTCAACGAAATGTTCTTCGTAAAATAACTAACATTTGGAACGAAACACGTGGAGGCTTGTATCAAGAAAATGGATAGTATCATTTATGATAAGACTGAATAGTGTAAATGCAATTTTCGACAGTATTGGACAAATGCAGGAAAGAAGATTACCGGTCGCCACGAATGCTAATAATTGTAATAATAAACTAAGATAAGCAAAGTGATGGGATAAAAATGGATTACAATATTGATTTATTTATTACAGCTTGATTCCACACCATATTTTTGGTACAAGTAAAGAATTTCAGCGTGTGGTATCGGTAGCCCGAATTTTACAGGCCAACCATAGATATCAGGTTTGGGTTGGCAAAGAATCAAACCTCAGACCATGTGTATGGTCGGCGAGAGTGCTAACCACTGTGCCACCGATGCACGAGATGGAGAATTCCTTGAGAGATGAAACTGAAGTCCAAGTTTCAATAGGGTGCGAAAAGCGCTCAAAACTGCACCTCTTGATTACAAAGCTCCGATTTGGTCAGTGTTGTTGCAGCTTTAGCTATAAATATAGAAGACGTAGACAAACCACGCGTAGTATGACATTCGGAATTATGTGTCTAACTCTGAATGATAATAATGATAATAAATATTACTAGAAGTAATAGCAAGACGCCTACCTACTCGACTGCAAAGGAAGTGGGTGAAGATAAGCTCCCGTATGGAGGATGAGGGTATCGAGCCAAAATTTGATGATATCCTGAAACTAGTAAAAGATAGTGTCAATCAATCAATGAGCAAGTTCGCCAGGATATTACATCTCACCCCTAGAATAGAGCAGTCTGAAAGCAAAATGCAATCAATGATGACGAAAAGGCCTCAGAGAGGTGGATATCGAGAAAGCTCCATGATGTCTAGTAATGCATATAGACCTAGTGAGTGTAACAGGATTCGTAGTACATCCTCGACAGATAAGTTGCAAGATGCAAGGCAAACACGGTTGTGTTTTATACGTTTGTAAGAGGTGCATACAA